TTCTTACTTCTGGTTGAGCTCTGATCATCCAGTCATTGAAGCCAGGACAAGTGGGTATTATCTGCAAGTGTGGGTGTTCTTATGCATATGCCTTCTCTTCTTATCAGCTGGATGCTTCACTCTCCACTCTAGTCCTCTGTGGCTATGTCACTGACTCTGCGACCAAGAGTCCCCAGGACTTGCCACACTTCTGGCCAACCAGGTCTTCACCTGGGTTCACAGAAGTCTATTGAACATTGTAGGGCTTAGCTTGCAGCTTCATTGCTGTTTTCCCCTCACTTCCCCTTATTGGTGTCGAGCGTGGTCACCAATCACAGTGTGTATTCCCATTGAGTCTTAGTCTTGGAAGGGGGTTTGCACTGAGGGGACCCGACCACTTGCCTTGATGTTTCCTGGGCTTCACCACCTTCTTGAGGTCATTGTATTTGGCAGCTTTCTCCAGGTGGCAGGTCAGATCCACGACAGACACGTTGGGAGTGGGGACACGGAAGGCCATACCAGTGAGTTTTCCCATTCAGTTCAGGGATGACCTTGCCCACAACCTTGGCAGCAGGGATGATGTTCTGGGGCAGCCCCATGTTCATCATACCACAGTTTCCCAGAGGGGCCATCCACAGTCTTCTGGGTGGCAGTGATGGTACAGACTGTGGTCATGAGTCCCTCCACGATGCCAAAGTTGTCATGGATGACCTTGGCCTGGGGGGCCAAACAGTTGGTGGTGCAGGAGGCATTGCTGACAATCTTGAGGGAGTTGTCATACTTCTCAAGGTTCATGCCCATCATGAACATTGGGAATCAGCAGAAGGGGCAGAGATGATTACCCTTTTGTCACCACCCTTCAAATGAGCCCCAGCCTTTTCCAAGGTTGTGAAGACACCAGTGGACTCTACAACATATTCAGCACCAGCATCACCCCACTTGATGTTGGCGTGATCTCACTTCTGGATGATAGAGATGGGCTTCCCACTGATGATAAGCTTCCCTCTCTCAGCCTTGACAGTGCCA